GTGGACTGCCTTACCAGGCTGCCTTGCTAAATGCCGTCCAGGTGGGCTTGGCCAATAGAAGCCCCTGCAGAAGACAGGAGGGGGACAGAGGGAGTGGGGGGATTTCTTCCACCCTCCCTCTGCCCCTCTCTGCCTGGGGCTCTGGGTCTCTAGCTGGGGACCCCCAACACAGCTCCAGTTCCTTCCCTGGTGGCTCCAGCAACGTCACCTCCTCCTTCCACATGGACACATGGTGCTAAGGGGTTCCTGTGCTCGCTGATGGCTGGGGGTGTCCACTATACTCTCTTGAGTTGAGCCCTTTATGAGTGCCATCTGTTTCCTGCCAGGATCCTGACCCGTATAAACTACTACTAGTGACTCATCTGAAACATCTTGGTTATGACAACTGCAAAGATGCCCTAGTGAGAGAATATGAGGAGGCCATGGTCAAGGTCAGAGAACGGAAAGCAGGTGGTCCTACGAAAAGCGGAATCTAGACAATGTGTGTGCAACCTCTTCCTTGGTCCCGGCTGACTCTGGAGCCACCTATGGAGGCCTAGGGAGATGGACAGGGTCCCTGAACTCAAGAAGGCTGTCACCGCCCCTGACAAGGTGATGATTCCTAGGACCTGTAGCTATGGCTCTCAGGGACAGCTTTTCCTAAACCAGGTAGGACTGGCAACCTTGAAATGGAGCTGTGTGACCTTGAGCCTGTTGCATCCCTGTTTGAACCTTTTTTGTCTGTTAATAAAGAAACCACTTGGACCTCTAAAGTCTCTTCGGATACTCGTCTGCTGTCAGCCATGTGGCCCGCGTCCCTCCTCAGGAGGCGTCTTTTGGGCCTTAGAGTCTGTGGGAATCTTTATTAAAACAGCGAGCACGTAAGAAGGGGGAAATGCATTATTTTATCAGTTTTCAACTGAGTGCAGAGGGGACAAGCACCAAGTCTGGGGGACACATCCTGAAACTTTGTCTCAAGGATGAAACGTGTGCAATCTCTTCTGTCTTGTTTGAAAGCTCAGATGGACTTTCCATCCTTCTCCATAATGGATTTGAGTGTGGGGGCCCCAAATATCTGAGCAAAGATGACTGTCCAGGAAGGCCACCGCAGCATTCAGGCTGTAGCTGTGTGGGGGCCGCTGTGCAGACCCACCACCATGAGAAGCTCCACCTTGAGCCCTGGGAAGGTGGTCTGACTTTCTCTGGCCTCGGGGAGTGAGCAGGAAGTCGGGGGGCACCCCCAGAGGCTGTTCTGACTGAGTACTTCCTCCCTGCCCTGGCGTCGGGGCAACAGTGCTTGAGGTTTCTGGACCAAGCCCACACTTTGGGCAATACCTCTGTGCCCTACCCTGACACAACGCAGAGGTTCAGTGCTGGGCAGTGTGGGGGGGGGAGGGAGAGGGGGGAAGGGTTCTGGAACCTCACCTTACTCTGCCAGAGGCTGGCTGGAGTGGAAGAAGGCCTAGTGCCCACCCGATCTCAGCTGAGTTGGTCCTTCTCTGGCTGGAAGAGGACGCATGCTCTGCCACCTAAAGGGCCAGGACCCCCTTCCCAGTGGGATCAAAAGGACATGATCACAGCAGAGGACCTGGGTTAGGTCCCAGCAGCCTCTGGGGCTCTCATCCCAGAGGTGCTCCCTGGGTCGAGGGGTCTGGGCCTGTAACAGGACACCTGGTAACAAACACCCCCTACCCTTCCTCTTCTGTAGCCTTCCCTGCCCCAGAGCAGGGCTGAGAGCCCCCAGAGAGCTTGTGACTGGGGCAGGCCATCCATGGGTCACCCACAATTTCTGTCCCACTCTCCCGATTCCTGACTCTGCTGGACTCTGTCCTTCTCCTTCAGCCTGGGTCGGCTGTGAGCTCAAGATCTCTGAGGGGCCAGCAATCTCTCGGGCAGCTGCAGTGGGGCTGGGGTCCACTGGGCACCCCAGCAGTGCCCTCCTCCCCTGCGGCCCCTGGTCCCCGCTGTAGTCATCCCCGCCACTTGGTCAGGCAGTCCTGTACACTCCTTGGTGTGTCCCTCAGGTAAACAGCCCTCCACGCCTGGCCTGTGCCAGGAACGCAGAATCAACAGGGG